TGTTGAAAGAGACGGTTGAGAAAAAGAAATTAAGAAAGTGTGAGGAGAAACCATAGAGAAAAATCAGCATCACATCACCATATGGGGATAGTCAGCTATTGTGGCAGGTTCCTGTCAAATGAATCACAATAGTGAGACAAATTTGGGAGCTCTGAGACTAGCGTTCCAATACTTCTAGTTGTTGACAAAAACAAAAACCCACAAAAATCCTTAGAGTATGCATTAGCCTGATAAAGGAGTGATGTTGCTGTCGCTCAATATTGTCATGAGAAGCAAAAAAGTGAGCAACTTCTGGGTGTGTGTTGTGTGACTTTTCCTGGGGAAACATGACATACATGTCTACTAACCCAGAGGATCCATGACAGACTAAAGTAATGATTATTACCTCAAAGTGCAACTTGGTGAACCGACTTTTATTGTCAATGACTTTTATTGGGGTTATTAACAGGAGTAAGTGTAAGAAGTAGAGATGACTCAAATTCAGTTCTATCACTAAAAAGCCTACCACAACAAGGATGAAGGCTCATGAAACCTACAACATTCTGCATGAATGACAGGCAACTTTGCAGGTCAGGGAATCTCTTGTAGGTGGCATTGCTGGTCAGAGTCACCTGCACCAACAAATGTTTATTGTTTTGATAATCTTGGAAAAAGGTAATTCTGAATTTTGTAAGTTTCAACTTTCTCAGACTTGTGAAGTTTGTTTGCTTTCTGAAACCAGAGTCTCCTTCCTGACTTCTGAAGCAAATGTTTGAATTTGAAGAAAATTTCTGCACCACACTGTGGTAGCACACATCTGTAATTTCAGAACTCTGGAAGTTATAGCAGAAGGGTGGAGGAGTATGAGATTAGGTGGGCTACACAGCCCACAGTTGACCCTATCTCAACTAACTATGTAACCACACAACCAATCAACCAAAAAAGTGCTCACTATTAACTGTTCCCCATTAAAGACAAATTGATAAGTCAAACATTTTTATGGTTGTGCAGAATTACTTGAGATTTTACATTTTAAGGCAGGATTAATAAATAATTGATACAGTTTCTTTCTGAATTTTTTATTTTATTATACTGCTTAGGATAAAACCTAAGGTTCCTTGCATACTATGCAAGTGTGTTACCACTGAGCCACAGCCATAGCTTGTTACCGGAGGATTCAAGTAGGTAGATGTTCTGCCATTGAGCCATGCACCCATCACCTCACAGGAGATTCTAGACAAGCACCCTATTACTGATATAACATCCTCAGGCCTATGAATAAGTTTCAACAGATAATCTAGACACAGATTTTCTAGCCCATACACTACAGCATTAGAAAATATTTCTTATGACCACTCTGGGTGGGTGTGGTCATAGAAACTTCTTGGTTGAATTGGCTATACTTGCTTCAGATATAAACTGACTCCAAGTCAGGCAACAAAGTAAAAAGAAGTCTCGTTCTTAAGAAGCTAGGAAAGCAATCACAGAAGATCCCCAAGAACTTATTCCCATGGTGTTATCATCCAGAATTGTGTCCTGTGTGTCTGTCTCTTGTAATTCCTTAGGATGCAGTGAAGATACTTTCTAGACTATTCAAGATTTACACTCAAAAGTAGATGGAGGGATAACTTCCCTGAAAAAAAAGAAAGAAATCTGTAGTTTGTTTATCAGAGAGCAAGTGATCAGATTCTGGGAGAGGATACATTCAGCAACATATGTCATATTTGGTGGAGTAGAGGAGGAACGCAGAGGTCAGATGCAGCTACATTAAAATCTGTCTGATTACTATATGTAGCCTTCAAAATACATATTTTCTCTTAACATCATTCCAGTCTTATAAAAACTAGAAATAATGAGCCTTTTAGAATTCTTGTATAGGTCAATGTAAAGTTCATGTATAATAATTACCAATGCATGGTCTTTAAAGAAAAGTCCACAAACTGCACCAAAATTCATTAGGTCTCAGAGTCTATCCTTTATAAAACTAACCTATGCAGTCATGCACTCTCTTTCTATATCAAGAAGTAAGAAACTTCATTTCAAACAGGGACAATGGAAGAAGGCACTGGCTTGAAGATAGAGATGGTACTGACACCTCACTGACTTCCTCCTTTTTTCAGAATCACAAGATAAAATGCCTTTTAAATAGTGGTAATCACTGTTTGATCTCCTCTTCAACTATAGACTCAGGCCAATGCCTTAAGTGAACAGAAATAATAGGCAAACACTACGTCAAGGATTCTTCCAGTGAGGAGAAGCAGAATCTTGGAAACTTTATAAATTTGGTGTTGAAAGAAGGTAGAGAGCCAAATAACCAAATTAAAATGGGGTACAGAGCTAAACAGAGAATTCTCAAAAAAGGAATTTCAAATGACTGAGAAGCACTTAAAGAAATGCTCAACATCCTTAGTCACCAGGGAAATGCAAATCAAAACCACTCTGAAATTCCATCTTCCACTCATCACAATGGTCAAAAACTCAAGTGACAGCTCATGGTGGTGAGGTTGTGGAGAAAAGGGAACATTCCTTCATTACTGTTGAGAGCACAAACTTGTACAACCATTTTGAAAATCAGTCTGGTGCTTTCTCAGAAAATTTGGAATACCTCTACCTCAAAACCCAGCTAGACCACTCCTGAGCATATATCTGAAAGATGCTCTAGTGTATAACAAGGGACACTTGCTCAACTATGTTCATAGCAGCTCTATTCTTAATAGCCAGAATCTGGAAACAGCCTAGATGTCCTTTAACTGAAGACTGGATTAAGAAACTGTGGTACATTCACACGATGGAATACTACTCAGCTATTAAAAATTAGGAAATCATACGCTTTGCAGGGAAATGGATGGAACTAGAAAAAAAATCATCCTGAGTGAGGTAACCGAGACCCTGAAAGATACACATGGTATGTACTCACTCATAAGCGGATTTTAGCCATATAGTACAGGATAAACATAGTACAATTCACAGATTCAAAGAAGATAAGTAACAAGGAGGACCTAAGGGAGGAAGATTAAATCTCACTAAGAAGGGGAATGGACATTGGAAGTAGTTGAAGAGAAGGAATAAGGTAGGAGAGCAACCATGGAGAGAAATTAGGGAAGAGATCAGACCTGAGAAAGCAGTGATGGGAGGGCAGAGAGCCTGCAAAGAGAAACTGTGGTTGGAGGCATCTCTGTGACAAACTGGAGACTCGGGACACAATAGGCTTCTGGGAGGATATGGGAGTGACTCTAGCTGATACTTCTAGTAGCAGGGGTCATGGAGACTGGAGAGGATACCCTCTAATTAGACAGGACTCCTAGTGAATGCAATGAAAGACTACTCACCCACAAAATTTTCGACCCCAAATTTACCCTGCCTACAACATTTACAGTGATAAAGATAGAACAGAGCTGGAGGAATGTCCAACCAATGTCTGGTTCAAGCTGAGACCCACACCATGGGAGAGAGCCAACCCCTGACACTATTCACAATATTCTTCTATGTTCAAAGACAGGAGCCTCGCATAGCTATCCTTTGAGAGGCTCCACCCAGCAGATATTGAGACTCACAACCACACATTGGACAAACCATAGAAAGTCTTGTGGAAAAGTGGGAGGAAGGAGAGAAAGACCTGGAGGTGACAGGAGCTTCAAAGAAGACCACCAGACAACTAACCAGGGCCCACAGGAACTTGCAGAGACTAAAGCACCAAGCAAGGACCATGCATAGACTGGACCTAGGCCCCCTACACAGATATAGCCAATGGGCAGCTCAGGCTTCATGTGATCACTTCCTCCTGGCAGGGTTGCCTCATCAGGTCACAGGGAAAGAAGCATTCATTCCTGATGCAATTTGATGAGCTGGGGTGGGCTGGTGTGTGTGTGTGTGTGTGTGTGTGTGTGTGTGTGTGTGTACCCTTTCTTTTAGGAACAGGAGATGGGAGAACAGAGAAGAGGGTGGCACTGAGGGAGAAGACAACAATTGGGATGTAAAGTGAATAAATAAATTTTTAAAAAGAAGGCAAAGAGCATGGAAAGTGGGGATCTTGATAGACTGTTTGCCAAGTCCTTGTGGAGTCACATTTGAACTTGAGACTATGTAAGTAAGAAGTTAGATGTAGAGAAAACTGCTACTGTCCTGACAGCTGTGTCCAGAATGTCTCTTTGTGTTTAAACATTCTTTACGCTGAAGTTAGGGGCTTTTTACTATATAAGAAACCAGGACACTAAGAAGCTTCACCAGTTACCATACATACACATTAGCGAAGGGCATGCATGTGACCTTAGCGTTGTTATCATATCCTCTGAACTGTGGGTGTTTGAACCTTCCTTATTTGTAAAATTTCAAGAGTATCATGGTAATCAGTTCTCAGAAATGGCATCTGGTCTACCACAAGAACAATAAAGGGTCACCTTATTCCCATATTTATACCACCTACCTCATAAATTTTTACAAAAATTTCTTTGAAATCTACAGTGCAGAGCAAAATGGTCTGCTACTCATCCTGTGGGTCTACATACTCTCATATCTCTAATCTGTTTGTCTGTCTGTCTCTCTGTCTTTCTGTCCACATATTTTACACTCTCTGGAGTGCACAGTCCTTTGCTTTGCTGAAAAAAAAACTTTTTGATTAAACTTTTGGCATATCTCACCTGAATTATTTCTTTGTGAGCACTAGAACTGAGGGAAAGCCTTCACTAAGGGAAAGTCTACTGAGTTCGCTGCTTTCTTCAAAAATGTTAAACTCCTTTAAGCAATGTTGTGCTGTCTGTTCACACTCAGTCCATTGTCTCTGCTGGGACACTGGGGCTTATTATTATTTTTTTATGATCATTCTGCAAAACGTGAATAGTTTCAGCAATGTGGAGAATGTGAAGAATTATGCTATCATAGAGAGGCATGCAGTAGAGTGCTAGCTTTATTGGTATAATGGCTCTCAGGTGGTGGCAGGTGGTATGAATTCTGAATAAGGGTGATGTAAGATGGAGACAAATCTGAGAAATGGTTGTTGTTGAAATTTTTCAGGTGCAGACAAAATGGAAACCAACTACTCCATCCCTCTGAATGGATCAGAACTGGTGGTCTATGATTCTACCACCTCCAGAGTTCTGTGGATCCTCTCCATGGTGATCCTTTCTATTACATTTTTCCTTGGTGTTCTGGGCAATGGGCTTGTGATCTGGGTAACTGGATTCCGAATGACACACACCGTCACCACTATTTGTTATCTGAACCTGGCTTTGGCTGACTTCTCTTTTACGGCTACTCTACCATTCCTTGTCGTCTCAATGGCCATGAAAGAAAAATGGCCTTTTGGATGGTTCCTGTGTAAATTAATACACATTGTGGTAGACATAAACCTATTTGGAAGTGTCTTCCTGATAGCTCTCATCGCCTTGGACCGCTGTATTTGTGTTCTGTATCCAGTATGGGCTCAGAACAACCGCACTGTGAGACTTGCTAAGATGGTGATTGTTGGACCCTGGATTTTTGCTCTGATCCTTACTTTGCCCATTTTCATCTTCTTGACTACAGTTACAGATTCAGAAGGAAATGTGTACTGTACATTCAGTTTTGCATCCTGGGGTAACACTGTTGAGGATCGGTTAAACACAGCTATCACTATGTTAACAGCTAGAGGGATCATCAGGTTCATTATTGGCTTCAGCTTGCCCATGTCCATCATTGCCATCTGCTATGGACTCATCGCTGCCAAGATCCACAGAAAAGCCCTTGTTAATTCCAGCCGTCCCTTGCGTGTCCTTACTGCAGTTGTGTCTTCCTTCTTTATTTGTTGGTTCCCCTTTCAACTGGTGGCCCTCTTAGGCACAGTCTGGCTCAAAGAGGTCCTGTTTAGTGGGGGTTATAAAATTCTTGATATGTTGGTTAACCCAACAAGCTCATTAGCCTTCTTCAACAGCTGTCTCAATCCAATGCTCTATGTATTCATGGGCCAGGACTTCAGAGAGAAACTGATCCATTCCCTGCCTTCCAGCCTGGAGAGAGCCCTGAGTGAGGACTCTTCCCAGATCAGTAATACAGGCACCAATTCTGTTCCACCTCCTGAAGACATTGAGATAAAAGCAATATGAGGAGAGGGCTTGGGAATCCTTTTTCTCTTAACTCAGTCCCTTTCTACTTTTATCTTACCTTAAATTGTGCCATACAGCATTGTTAATCTAGAAAAATACTTCTGTGTCTCCTGAATTTGGGAAAAGAAATAAAAATCAGTTAATACTGCTGTCCTTTTAAGGCCTTTTCAATTAAGTGTATAGCCTGAATTAAGGCTAAGGTGGCACAACATTACAAGAGAGAAAAAGAATAATGCATATTTGCAATGATTCAATAAGATGGTGGATTTTTAAAATCAAAATTCTATTTCAGGAGCTAGAGAGATGGTTTAATGGTTGAAAGAAACTACTGCTTCAGCAGAAAATGTAGGTGTAGTTCCAGCTACCCACATAATTCAACTTATAATTGTTAGTAATATCATCTCTAGGGGATTCAATGACACTGGCCTCTGTAAAGATTTACACTCAAATACACATACCCCAACACAAACAAAACAAAACCTCCAAATAACTAAAAATAAAATATTAAATATTATTTTATAATTAACAGGTAAAATTTTGCTGGGTATACATATAATCTCAGCATTTGGGAGGCAGAAGCAGGAGAGACTAATTCAATACCAGTCACCAAAACAAAGTTATGTGGTCTGTAGGGAAACAGATGCAACTGGAAAGAGTCACAATAAATGAATTAAATAAGGCACCTCTATGAAGGGTGAAAACTACCAACAACCCTAGATGGAATAGTCTTATAGCTATAACACAGTCAAGATAAAAGAACAAATAAGAGGTGGTAGAAGATATTCAACCATGTCTCTAGATTTTTGGTTGATCTATACACATGTACGTCACCAAAGGTTGTCATTAGTGATGCCTCCAACGCAGGCAACTGCCATCTTGAAGAGTTTAGTTGTTCCCCCTTTCATAAGATTATTCCATCTAGGGTTGTTGATGGTTTTTACCCTTCATAGAGGAACAGAGTAGGGCACATGATTTTCATCTCCGTATCCAGTTGCCCCTACTACCTGCCAACTCCTCACATAGTCTGGGGGAAGGGGCTAAAACATACAGAGGCTGAACATGGGCTCTATCTAAGCAGCAATGGGAAAGCCCTCAGCTCTGTTGGGTAAGACATTTTAGGTGAGGTTGGCTGGGTAAAGAATAAGTGCACTCCTATGAGAAATTCATCACCAATGATCTGTGAGAATGCTCAATAAAACTCATTGGTTCTCCAAGGTGACAAATCAAGCCCTGGGTTTGTCTTTGGGACATTAAAAGACAAGATAGAAATTGCTTATGTTGGCTTCTGAGAAGGAATTTTAGCAACAAATGAGAGATAAGACTCTTTATTATTTGTTACCTATTAAGAAATACTGGGAAAGGATCTTCTCCAACCCTATATCTGACAGAGTGCTGATATCCAGAATATATAAAGAACTTATATATAAAGAAGTTAAAAAGCAACAAATCAAGCAATCCAATTAAAAAATGGGGTACAGAGCTAAATAGAGATTCTCTGTAGAGGAATATAGAATGGCAGAGAAACACTTTAAGAAATGAGCAATGTCCTTAGCCATCAGGGAAATGCAAATCAAAATGACCCTGAGATTTCACCTGATACCCATCAGAATGGCTAAGATAAAAAACTCAAGTGACAACAAATGCTGGAGAGGATGTGGAGAAAGGGGAACCCTACTCCATTGGTGGTGGGAATGTAAACTTGTACAACCACTTTGGAAATCAATCTGATACTTTCTCAGACAATTAGGAATAGTTCTGCCTCAAGATCCAGCTATACCACTCCTAGGCATATATCCAAAATATGCTCAAGTACACAACAAGGATATTTGTTCAACCATGTTCATAGCAGCTTTTTTTCAGAACAGCCAGAATCTGGAAACAACCCAAATGTCCCTCATCGGAGGAATGTATATAGAAATTGTGGTACATTTACACAATGGAATGCTACTCAGCAATTAAAAACAAGGAAATCATGAAATTGGCAGGCAAATGGTGGGATCTAGAAAAGATCATCCTGAGTGAGGTATCCCAGAAGCAGAAAGACACACACGGTATATACTCACTTATAAGTGGATACTAGCCCTATAAGATAGGATTAACATACTAAAATCTGTACACCTAAAGAAGTTAAACAAGGAGGACTCGGGATAAGATGATCGATCCTCACTTAGAAAGACAAATAGGATGGACATTGGAAGAAGGAGAAAACAAGAAACAGGACAGGAGCCTACCATAGAGTGCCTCTGAAAGATTCTACCTAGCAGTGTATCAAAGCAGATGCTGAGACTCATAACCAAACCTTGGGCAGAGTGCAGGGAATCATATGAAAGAAGGGGGAGTTAGTAAGACCTGGAGAGGACAGGAGCTCCACAAGGACCAAATATATCTGGGCCCAGGGGTCTTTTCTGAGACTGATTCTCCAACCAAGGACCATGCATGGATATAACCTAGAACCCCTGCTTGGACATAGCCCATGGAATCTCAGTATCTTAGTGGGTATCCTAGTAAGGGGAACAGGGACTGTCTCTGACATGAATTCGGTGGTGGCTCTTTGACTTCCCCCTCCCGAGGGAGGAGCAGCCTTGCTAGGCCACAGAGAAGGACATTGTTACCAGTCCTGATAATACCTGATAAGCTAAGGTCAGATGGAAGGGGAGGAGGACTTCCCCAATCAGTGGACTTAAAGAGGGGCAGGGGGGAGATGAGGGAGGGAGGGTGGGATTGGGAGAGAATGAGGGAGGGAGCTATAGCTGGGATACAAAGGAAATAAACTGTAATTAATATAAAAAATAAAAATTTAATTAAAAAACAAGAAATACTGTATCCAAACACAAAAGTGTACACATTCTTCTCAGCACCTCATGGAAGCTTCTCCAAAACTGACCATATAGTCAGGCACAAAGCAATCCTCAAAAGATACAAGATCGAAATAATCCCTTCTATCATATCAGATCACCCAGATCTAAAACTAGACCTCAGGAATAACAGAAATAGCAAAACTCCTACACACACATGGAAACTGAACAACTCTCTATTCAACAACTGGGTCAGGGAGGACATAAAGAAAAAAAAATTAAAGAATTCCTAGAATTCAGTGAAAATGAAGATATAGCAATGAAAGCAGTGCTAAGAGGAAAGTTCATAGCACTAAATGCCTTCATAAAGAAAATCGAGACATCTCATACAAACAGCTAAACAGTTCACATGAAAACACTAGAAAAAAAAAAAGAAGAAGAAGCAGACCTACCCAAGAGGAGTAGATGGCTGAAAATAATCAAATACAGGGCTGAAATCAATAAATTAGAAACAAAGAGAACAATTCAAAGAATCAACAAAACTAAGAGCTGGTTCTTTGAGAAAATTAACAAGATAGGCAAACCCATAGCCAAACTAACTAAAAGGCAGAGGGACACAATTCAAATTAACAAAAACAGAAATGAAAAGAGGGATGTAATGACAGATACTGAGGAAATCTGAAGAATCATTAGGTCCTACTTCAAAAGCCTATGTACAATAAAATTTGAAAATCTAAATGAAGTGGACAATTTTCTTGATTCCATTTACCAAAGCTGAATCAAGGTCAAGTACATAAATTAAATAGTCCTATATCTCCTAAGGAAATAGAAGCTGTCATCAAAATTCTCCCATTCACAGAAAGCCCAGGGCCAGACAGTTTCAGTGCAGAATTCTACCAGACCATCAAAGAGCTAATTTCAGTCCTCTTTAAAATATTCCACAAAATAGAAACAGAAGGAACATTACTGGCCTCATACTATGAGGCCACAGTTATCTTGATAGCTAAATCTCACAAAGACCCAGCAACAAAGAAAGAAAGCTTCAGATCAATGTCATTTATGCACATTGACACAAAATAATAAATACTCACAAACTGAATTCAAGAAAACATTAAAGATACGTTCCACCATGAACAAGTAGGCAGGCTTCACCCCAGGCATGCAGGGGTGGTTCAATATATGGAAATCCATCAATGTAATCCACCATATAAGCAAAATGAAAGAAAACAAAACAAAACAAAAAACCCCCAACAAAACACATGATCATCTCTTTAGATGCTGTAAAACCATTTGACAAAATCCAATACGCATTCATGTTTAAAGTTTTGGAGAGATCAAGGATACAATGCACATACCAAAACATAGTAAAAGCAATATACAACAAGCCTACAGCCAACATCAAACTAAATTTAGAGAAACTTAGGTCAATTCCACCAAAATCAGGGACAAGGCAAGGCTGTCCACTCTCTCCATACCTCTTCAACATGGTACTTAAAGTCCTTTCTAGAACAATAAAACAACTAAAGGAGATCAAGGAGATACAAATAAAAAAGAAAGAAGTCAAAGTATCACTGTTTGCAGATTATATTACACTACACATCAGTGACCCCAAAAATTCAACCAGAAAACTCCTTCAGCTAATAAATCTGTTCAGCAAAGTGGCTGGATACAAAATTAACTGAAAAAAAAAAATCAATAGCCCGCCTGTATACAAAAGACAAAAGGGCTGAGAAAAAAATTAGGAAAACAACACCCTTCGCAATAGCCACAAATAATATAAAGTACCTTGGTGTGACTCTAACCAAGCAAGTGAAAGACTTGTAGGAAAAACAACAACAAACAAACAAACAAAAAACCATGTCCACTCTCATTAGAAAGAAATTGAAGAAGAATTCAGAAGATGGAAAGATCTCCCATGCTCAAGGGTTGGTAGGAATAACAAAGAGAAAATGGCCATCCTACCAAAAGCAATCTATAGATTCAATGCAATTCCCATCAAAATACCAACACAATTCTTTACAGACCTTGAAAGAAAAATTCTCAACTTCATAAGGAAAAACAAAACAAACAAACAAAATCCCAGAATAGCTGAAAGAATTCTGTACAATATAAGATCTTCTGGAGGTATCTCTATCCCTGATCTCAAGCTTACTGTAGAGCAACAGTAATAAAAACAGCATGGCATAGAAACAGAATGGTGGATCAATAGAATCAAATCAAGGATCCAGAAATAAACCCACACATTTAATTTTTGACAAAGCTGCCGAAA